AAGACTGGCCCTGGGCTAACATCTGTGCCCATCTTCCTCCACTTTATATGGGACGCCGCCATAGCATGGCTTACCAAGCAGTGCGTCGGTGCACGCCCGGGATCTGAACCGGCGAACCCTGGGCTGCCGCAGCGGAGCACACACACTTAACCGCTTGTGCCACCGGGCTGGCCCCTAATGCCAGAGATTTTTTATTAGTAATCCTTGATAAAGGTAGATATCCACCTCTTTCCTCCTTTTCAGAGCCAGAGTCTTGAAAATGTTGACAGTAGCCAGAGTACAACATTGAAGAGTATTGGAGAATGACCATGTGCTTGTTAGAAACACTGTCTTTCCCTTCCGGTTGTTTTCCTCACCCCCGTTTTACACACACTGAGAAGGAGGGACGGGAAGGTGGACCATGGAGTTACCTGGTTCACTTAGGTTTCTGTGTTCATCAGGAGGAGAGAATTCATCCAGGGCTCCTGCTTCCCCTCTTGTTGATTATGGACACGATAAACACTGGTTCACTTCTCCACCTGCCGAGATTGTCAGCAGGAGTGAGGTTTCAGGCTCCACTGTTGAGCCCATCAAATCTCTCCACTGTCAAATGAGAGGGAGATGAGGTTGTTTCCATTCCCAGCAGCGTCTCAGATATTTTCAGTTTCAAGGAAGCCTTTTGCTTTCCTCCTCTCCATGCAACAGGTGAAAATGCCATTGTGATATTTCGGAAATACTTCTGTGGCGTGACAGGTAGCTCATAACAGATGCCGAGCGCAGAGGAAGTGCCTCCTCAGCTTCCAGTCTTACAGCGCTCTGGAAGGAACTAGACTCTGACCTTTGCTCTTACTTTACCAGCAGGAAGAGGGGGAGCATCCGTGACCTGTGGCTGAGCTTGTAACAGTTCTTTTATTCTGTTATTAAGACTCCGTCCCACTTGATCTCCTCTTCTCCTTGTGTCAGATTTCCCATCCAGACCTGTTAGAACAATCTGCCAACACTCCAAGACCAACCACCATCATAGAAAATATTTAGGAGAATAAGTTTTTCTTTTTTGCTTACTGGATTTTTTCCCCTGCATTTAGAGATTAAAATTTACTTGTATTTATAATACATAGATATAAAAAAATCAATGTTTTAATACTAGTCTTTTTAAGTAACTGATAATACTTAAGTGTCGCTAAGTTCCTGGCCAAGTAGAACTTGTGTTCAAGTTTGTCCAGATGCATTCTGATGATGAAACTCGCAAGGTGGCTTCAGTTCTGCACAGTTCTGTGGGCTTTATCCACCAGGGTGCTGCATCACACACAGGCCTTCCAAACACCAGGGAAGCGGAGGCTGTGCCTCTCACCTGTCCAGCATCAAGCTCCCTCTCCAGGACCCACCTGTCTTCCTTTCCTTCTCTCAGCCAGGTGACATCCCACGTTGTCTCCTTCCCTTTGCCAGCTGGCTTCCCCTCCCCTGAGGAGCCAATAACTCTTAGCTCTTCTTGCCTCCTCAACCTCTAAGGTCTGTATAGTCAAATTATTGGGAAAATATGTGTTTCTGATAAATTTAGTATAAACAGGCACTAGCCCATGAGTCACTGTTCTCACAAGCCATGTAGGAGGTTAGTAAGTGGTCAGTCCCACGGCAGGTGCAGAAATGTGCACTCATTCACTCTCATCTT